GGAAGGCCCGTGGTTCGAATCCGACCTCCGCCACTCGACTTCCCCAGTCTAGGCCTGGCCAACTGGCAGTATCCCAGCCCTCGTGCTTCCCTCGGGTGGCATGGCAGCTAGGCACCGGAAGGGTCCTACAGCTGAACGCTTTCTTTCTTTCTACGCCGGAACTCAAATCTCCAGTGATTAATGACATTGGTGGAAATGGCCCAATCGCGCAGTCAGTGGCGCTCATGCATCAAAGATATCGCCTTCAATGCATAACTACCCGATTTTCGAACAAATTGAACACGTCTTCGCCTCGAAGGCTTGGTTGTGTGTTCCGCTTTCCCGTTTTCCGGCAATCGGGGCTGTAGCAACTGGAACCAATGTAACCATGGCACACGGTTTATAGCGGATAAATTGAATTGATTGAATTGATATCTAGGTTTGAGCAACCTGACAGTATCTCAGCACTCGTGCTTCTTTCGGGCTTAGTCACCCATCCTGGGTGTTCACATCACCCGCCGGGTGGTTTACGGTAGCAGGTATTTCGTCAAGCGAGACGAAGAGCACTTGTAACGGCTTTCTGCTGCAATCCGTAACAGATTTATTGAATCAGAGCCCTGCCAGATTCCTGAGTAAGCACATAACCACCCCTAACTAACTTGTGTTACTCGTCTCCCCAGTTGAGGTTTCCTTAATTGGGTGGGCCCCAATAAACAACCGACTCTGCCGTTCGTTTGTCAGCTTCATTACGAACTGCACTAGGCGAAATAATTTTCAAACTGTTTTGTTTCCGTGAATGCACCAACCAACTGCAACAGTAATTGGGCGAATGATATCTCTCGATAGTTATCACTCTGCTATCCATTACGGGAATTTCGGCTGTTGTCCTGGCCGCTGAGACCTCAATATACAAGTAAGATGTCTCAGCTTATCAGAATCGCGAGATGGTTCAGGTGTTAGAGCATGAATTTACTAACCGCAAGATCCGTGGTTCGAACCCGACCTCCGCCTCTCGACTTCTATCTAGACTTGGGCAATTTGGCAGTATCCCAGCGCTCGTGCTTCCTTCGGGTGGCACGGCAACTAGGCACTGAAAGTGTGTTACCGCTGAATGGTTATTATTGTTGTAGAAGTCCAATCTAGTGGGCGTTTGGGGCTGGATTCCTGACTGACAATGGTGCTAATCTTTCACAGCACCATACTGACAACCAGTTGCCCCTTAGTAGTATTAGACTAGAATGCAATGGGCACTTGCGCTCCCTGGCATTCTGCTACCGTTAAACAACTGTTCACCTAAGCTGGCTACATTGCCGATGACGAGGTTCCGTTTCTGATTATCCATTTTCCTGGAATATTTATGTCTATTCAGATCACACCATCTAGTGTAAATTTGCGATTACTTTTCCAGGGTAACCAAAGTAAGGGAGTCTTTACTTGGTCCTAGAAGGAGGAGCGTTCAGCTGTAGCACCTTCCGGTGTTTCTGATTATCCATTTTCCTGGAATATTTATGTCTATTCAGATCACACCATCTAGTGTAAATTTGCGATTACTTTTCCAGGGTAACCAAAGTAAGGGAGTCTTTACTTGGTCCTAGAAGGAGGAGCGTTCAGCTGTAGCACCCTTCCGGTGCCTAGCTGCCATGCCATCCACGAGGGCTGGGATACTGCCAGGTTGCCCAAGCCTATACAGGGCAAGTCGAGTGGCGGAGATCGGATTCGAACCACGGACCTTCCGGTCAGTAAATTTGCGCTCTAACCACTTGGGTCATCTCGTCCTAGAACAACTTGACTTAAGTCAAACAGGCTGTACTCTGGAGAGACTTCAGTCGAGATGGACACCACCGTGCATACCGCCTCTGGACCATATGGTGTATTCTCCAAGGGACGGTAAATTTGGTATCGAAATCTAACGTGGGTGACATTGTTTACTTAGTTGAAGGTCATACATGCGCACAAACTCCCTCTTAGACGGATCATCTGTAGTGATCCCTTTACACATGCAGCTCTCACCTGCAGCGTTTTACCATTCCATTGTGCCTGTCCGATGCTTCAGAGTAAGGAACTTGAGTTCATTTATAAGTTTGCCTATCGTGAAACTGTATGAACCACGACTGTATCACGACATCTGGAGTTAGTGTACGCATCATCATCAGAGACAGCAACATCGGTGTTGACATATGCTTCACTGTCGCACAAGCATAAGGTTCGTCTGATTTTATTTAAAACCCTAGAGTGAAGGGAAGAAAAAAAGAGTGGATGAGGTAGGGGACCTGGTGCTGGCTTATGTCAAGCATTCCGAGGTGTCTACACCAACCGCTCAGTCAGACAATCTCGAAGAAACCGACAGCACAAACGCCACTGACATCGATTAACCGCCATTTCCTGCAACGTCTCCAGCCAAGCAGAACTGGGGTCACGGCGACCCCATCTTGGAATGCGTACAACATCAACATCACCCAAAATCTTCGTGATTTTTTCATTCCCTTTTGTCAAGTCATGCGTTGTCCACGTGGCGGTTTGCGCCATTCTGAAGGAGGCACGGAGAACAACACTCGTCTCGGTAGATGGTGTTTCGCCATGCGTAGCGCATGACCGAGTCATCGTAGTCAGTGGTTCTGGATAGTTTCCCCGATCGAAGTACTTGCCGCACAACCAAAACCAATCGCCTGGTTACTGATCCACTGACGCCGTACAAAACCAATCGTGCTTTTGAGGCATCAGTTGTCAAAAGCCTGAAGACGCCTCACCTCATCTGTCTGCGGAGGCCATGTCTTGCACCCTGCAACAACAAAGCTCTTACTGAGCGAACTTCTTCAGCTTGTATCAGGTACAAATACCATTCCGGCCAGAGGGCTGTGTCCACAAAACTAACCTCTGACCATGAACGTGAACTCCTCGGTCTGAAGACCTCAAACTTCTTCAACCATTTGGTCACCTTTGTCTAAGTAGAATAGTGAGTTGCCTGGCTTCAACATCTGAATACATCGAATACTACATGGTGAGCCAGAATCTCGGGAGCATCAACTAAAGCCTGTCAGCCTAAGACGGTTTGGTACGTATTCTCTGCTTCAACCCCCTGTTGGTGAAAGGTCCCCAGTAGAAAACCTACAGGAAATGGTACGTGACTTGTCTTAGTGGCCTGTTTTCTGTTGCTTCATAGCCGGACTATCCAGCTAAAGTTTATGTATCGTTGTCTGCAAGATCTGTTTTGGACAAGGTTCACGAACGACGCTTGACCGGTTCTGCTGTTGGCATCCTCCAACAGCGTTTTTGTTTCAGTGGTCTTGGGATGTGTTGACCCTTCACAGTTGACCGTCTTCAGTGGAGACAGTTTTTTCAAGTCTTCCAACCTTTTCATTCTTTGTTGGTGCCTCCTTTGTGGCTCCTGGGCACTCGGGCACCATGTTTCACGGTGGATATGTGGCTGTCAGCGATGCTAATGACAAAGCTTGTCATGACTGTCGAATGAGGAGGCAACGTCTAAGAGGCCTGTCCCGCTCGGTTATGTATACCGCTCAACCTGAATGCCCAGGTCACCTGCCCGACAGCTGACGCTCCTGCCGCATCAGGTTCCTATTTCTCGTAGTTTTTACGTTTCTTGCGAGTGTGTTCAGTGGATGAGCGTTCTAAGTTTGCGATTTACGGAGTCAGTCTTTTTTAGCATGTTCATCTTCGCTGGGATGATAATAAATTAATCGTTCCGCTGTAATACTTGGTGCTTAGCTGCTATGTCGCCCGAAGTTAGCACGAGGGATGAGGTGTTTTTAGGTTACCCGAGCTCGGGCGGTCGAGATGTAGAGGTTGGATTCAAGCTCAGAAATTCTATAACGCTGTTGCATCCAACTGATTATGCTTATTGCTGAATTAATTACGTGTTCTCCACTTTTATACCTATTTGACCCTGCACCTTCGATGCCCCAGTGCTACGATAACTTGGACCAAACTACGGTGCTACACGGTTCATGGTCGAAGCACCAATACAAACGATAAATCTTGATATCTAACTTATTCACCGCTCCTATTTTATGCCAAATTAGTTGGCTGGGTTTCTGAAGACGCGGTGACGGTGTACGCGAAACAGTTCTGATAAGATCAAAACACTACATAAACTGTGACTGCTTGTTCCTTGCATCACCCACCTAAATCCAGGTGTGTCTACTTTGTATATTAGGGAGTATCAAGCTAGCATGTAGATACGTAAATCTGTCACGGTCATCTGGCGCGTTCTGCGCTAGTTCTGTTGTTGTTTTAACCCATCATGTGGCCCCTGCAGATCAAACCACTATTTGGAGCACTTGACCTATTCGGGGAAGCCCAATTGAGTGACGCATGAAATCGTGAAGCAAGAATTTATTTACATACATGCATAAAAATGCGTAGATGTAAGAGATTTGAACCTCAAATTGTGACATCTCCATCTAAGTTGTTTCACGGATGGGCGTAAGTCCATAGAAAGCCCCCAGAAGGTTATAAAAACATTGCAGAAACAATACCTCCGGAGGAAACGGCAAACCAGTTTAATCTAACGACAAACGTGTGTGCACAACACGTAACGCAAGGGGCCAAAAAGCGCTCGTAAAAAATTGGCCAAAACAGGTCAGTGGTTGAAAGTTCACAAGGGACTACAGGTAGGTATTGAATCCGTGATGTAGACGCCAAAAAACTGGTTTTAGGCAGAGGATGGGTCTGAACTATAGGAAGGGGTAATTGCCTTGTTATCAGTTGCAAGTGCACATGTACTTCTTGGGCGGGGTATATTTTCGGTATATTGGGTACATTTTACCATTTACAAACTTCGCTTGATTTAGTCTAGAGGGAATAAGTTTTTGCTATTCCGATTATCTTTAGTGCATAGTCCCGAAAATGTTTAGGGGGATGAAACTACTGTATTGTTTGTCAGGAGCGACTTCGAGTGTCACAGATTATGGTGTACAATTCCCATGTAGTGTTTAGTGACACTTCTAGACACCTTAGATATAGTGTTCAGTATAATGCTAACACGTATTCTTTTTTTCATACAGTGCGCGGGCTAACTCGAGACAATGTCGGGCGGCGGAGCGACAGGCCTAGTTACAATGAAGGCCACAGCCGTGTTTCCCCAGCCCACTTCACACATGCCAGCACAACATACTCAAGCCGCCGGGCTGCAACCAAACAGTGTTATCCAAGCGAACAGCGTTTTCAACCAACAAATGCAACAACAGCATTTACTCCAACAGCAACAACAGCAGCAGCAGCAACAACAACAGCAACGCGCCCAACAACATACTCAGGCACAACACCAACAACTCCATCGTTTGTCTCAACCGCATTCGATATCTGCCACCCATCCTTCTCAAACAACTGCTGCCGTTAACAATGCACAAACCAGTGTTTTTCCTCCTGCGGAATTTTTTCAAACCTTGCAGCAAACAGCAGCTGCTCTGCCTACTGTCCTACCCTACGATCAGTCTCAGTACATTGGACAACTGATGTATTTTCCCTATCCAACGGCTGCTGCGGCCGCTGCGAATGGCCTGTTCGGTTCTCCGTCTGCCACTGACTCTCAGCATATCACAGTGTGCTCCGCAGCCCAAGTGACCCCGGTCAACGTAGTTAATCAAGTTTCAAGCAACAACACCGGCCAAATTATTGGTGGACCGAGTTTGGTTTCTACTACTCCAGGTGGGATGGTTGCTCTCAATCATGCCGCCGCCCCATCAGGTCAAGTACATAGTGCAACCCACCTGCTTACCTCAGGACCGGGCATTGTGGGGCTGGGCGCTGGATCCAACACCGTTTCTGGAACACCTGCGTTGGCTCCTGCGTCGCTTGCCCCTCTTTTCACTACTGCTCACTTTTATCCGCACCACCAGCAGTCGCAGGACCAAGCTAGTCAATCACAACTCCAACTCCAGCACAGTTTACAACAGCAGCATATCCACAACCCTCTCCAAATGCAACAACATATTCACACCCTTTCTGGTCACTCTGCGATGCATGGACAAGTCCCATCCACAACCCCGGTTATAGTCCCTGGACAGGTTCACCCCTCCGGTGTGGCTCAACTAAATGTGGTGAATTCACAGGTGACAAATTCACAGCGACATTTGAATAATACCACAGGTAATGGAACTACCTGCAGCACTACGACCAATAGTAGTAACACTAATTCTACCACCCCTGTTAAGAACAGCGTTCCAAACTGTGACGGAACCGTCAAGCCTGATGACCCTGTCCATTCAACTCCCAATCAGACACCTGTAAAAGGCAACGAGTCTGATATGATGAATCAGAACTCCCAACTAACCGGTCAGTCACAGAACAGCAACAGTGGACTCGATGTCAGTTCCTCCTCAACTAAACGGGACAACAGCGGAACCGGCCATTTCGTGTAAGTCTGAATTTGGTTGCCGCATCCTACTTGTCACTATGGAGTGGGTTGTGCACTTACAAAGTATCTGACCCAATAAGTTCAAGCTAAGCTGGTCTACTGAAAGACATAAATTAGATGACCAACTTAACTAGTTGAAAATATTCTTTCCATCGTTCTTTCCATCATTACTGTTATACATTAAGTTGTTCCTGATTAGTCCACTAAAAGACGACCTCCTGGATCATATTTTGTGTACACAACGGAACAGCGTCCATACTTTCCCTGCTGTATCAGTGCTTTCCATTCTTTGAATCTAACGTACCACTTAGCTGAGCCGTGCTTTGGGAGTGGGACGTCTTTTATCAGCAAGTGACAGTGCTCATCCAGCATCGGAGTGGAACACTGTTGTCACGATAATGATGAGTTACGATAATTGAGGAGGCCGCCCTTAAAAGCTACACACAATAGGCTTTCGTGACTCAGAGTTTTCCGTCTATTACACGGGAAGCTTACCCGGGACATTCAGTGAAGATCTATGTCGGGCAAGTTGATGATCCAAGCCAACCAGAAGACCAGTAGTCAAGTATCGAGCCTCACCGTCCGTAGGTAATGGCTGTGTGATCGGTTTAGCTCTGCGGTTGTTGAGCTGTAGGAAAACGCCTGAGCTCAGTATTGCTGATGAACGACTAGTGGCCAGCACAGCGTTGTAAGAGTAATTCGACGTTACCCAAATCAAACGTTCTCCCAATCGCGCCTCAAGAACTGAGTCAGTGCACTTGCGTATTCAAACCCGTGGTTACGACAGAACCTAAGGTCCTTGTGGATAACGGGGTTGTTAATCCTCAACAAAAGATGCTTCACGGAACCAGTACATAAGCAGAAACTATAAACAGGAAACGGTCAGCACCTCAGTTTAGTGTTTTCGCTGGAAGTGGAGAGATGAGTGGCACAGAGGCTAGTATTTGCGGACATCCAATCAACTATGGAGGTTGTAAGATCTGGGCGGCTAAGAATTGTACAGAATGAATCGGCTATCGGAATATTCGCGGTTCGTGTGTAGTAAGAAAGAGGAACAGACGGACGAGGGCAGCAGATGATGTATTGCCAATTGTCGAGAGCTGGTTCTAAAGTAAAACACCGTACAATCAATAATAGCGCAATCGGCAGGGGCAGAAAAATGGTCAGTGGGACAAGGTTTTCTGAAAGCAATAGCACGTAAATATCAAAAGATATGCAAACATACAGATTCGGGCAGTCAGTTAGTGTAAATTGGTCGTATACTGAGATAACAGCACAGAAAACAATCAGTACGTTCGGGAGGTAAGGAACTATCTTTGGCTAGTAGCACGACGCCGCAGCTCGTGTCACTTGCCCAATCGGGTTACGCGCTTAGGCCCGTTCGAACCATCTCAACAAAGGCTACCTGGCAGATGTGGTACATAGCTAATACAAAAATGGTGTTTACAGAGGCGTCGAGGTGGTCTAAGACATGATATGCTCGTCTAACATCCGAGGAGCTCTAAGATCGATCCCCGGTGGGTCCGTTCTTTCATCAGAGCGGACTCGAAAATAGGTAGAACAGACAGGAAATTGAAAGCAAAGACGGAGAATAACAAATTAGAGGTAACAAATCAATTACTAGAGCATAAGCAGACCTTAGGTAGAAGCAAGAACCGGGTAGCGAAAAAACTAAACGGCGTTGTAATAAATGGGTATAAATCAGGCTACTCATGAGTAGTCAGAAAAAGAATAAAACGTGATTCACAGGAGGAATCGCCAGAGGCCTGAGCTCGGGAGCTAAGAGCTATAGCAAAATCGATACACCTCGCTTCGACAGCGTAGATCATCTGAAGTCTGCAGACCCTAGACGGCGAAGGAGAAGCAAGCCCAACTGGTTTCGGAAATCAACGAACGTTTGTTGACAAATAAACAAGATTATACACAAAGAATGCTCATTCGTCCTCTTGCCTAAAGACCGGAACATTAAAGGTTGCAATAACAATGCGGCAACAGAGTCCAATTAATGGAAGTGAAGTGTTAGATGTGAGTAATGGTTCGGGTTAATTCGTCTGGCTCTATCCAAATTGAAGTTCGTATGCGTTTCGTTACCACACGTTTTCCTTGAGTTGACCCATTTGTTAATTTATATGTTTCAACGTCTGCAGGTGTAGCGTTTGCGGACGCGAATTCGGTATGCGTTGTCGTCTGATTGCACATACAAGGCGTCATACTGGCGAGAGACCATTCCCTTGTGCCGATTGCGGTAGAGCTTTTTCCGACCGTGGAAATCTGCAACGCCATCGATACACCCACTCCAGTCAACCTCGGTTCCATTGTTCTGTGTGTGGAAAGTCTTTCAGACAGGTATGTCTTGTCGGTTGGTCCGGTCGCTTTCCGGACTGGTCTCGATCTCCGCGGCCCATCAACCTACTATATTATCCAACCTGTCACAGAGGGCATGTTGACTATGTTATTTTTCTGGTACTCAACCACTTATGCTAGTTCGTTGGATTTAGCTATTTATCCGTCTTCTTTTCCTGTCTTATCCCTATGATGCTGTTGTCTACAATGGTATCGCATATGTGCGATTTGTTATTGCTCCTGTAGAAAGTGACTCTTCACTTTTTTGCTCTTCGTAAGCACTAGTTCTGAGGTAGCGACGTCTGTCACGAATTCACTACTTTGTGTAATTATTTCGTCTGGATCGAGCCCTTCAATACCTAACTAATCGTTCTGTTGGAGATGATGTTCCCAACTCACGACCTGTTCACACATCAACATTGATGTAGGCTCGTGTAACCTCGTTCTATTCCGTCAAGTGATTGCCCAATTTCAAATCCCACCCCAAGACTCAATCCACTTCGGATGTAAGTAATGGCTGTCATCCTAATGGCTTTTTCCTGTCGTTAAGTTGGACAAACACAAACGAACTGAAAAACATACAGCGCGAAAATGACGGGCTGGTTGAACGAAAGTCAGAGAAATGATAGGCTTCAGTTATGAAGCTCGAGTTGTTAGAACAAACCTACCAATTTGTGAGGACTGTGACATCGCCACGTCGGAATGTTCCTCCAGCGATTGATAGGGTTACTACCAGGTGCACGAATCCATGGGTGATGCCACTCAGACCTTTCTAAATGGTGCTTCTGTTTCCCGGTTTCATGACTGACCCATAGTGCCATTTTCCCATCCAAGTCAGGGTTTTGCAGACTATTCCTATGGGAGTTGTTCTCGACATTTCTATCAGCACAGCTTGCGCACTTTCAATCGCCCGCGTAGTGGACCGGAATTCAGTTTTTTTTACCAACTTTTCACTTACTCAGTGGTCAACACCATGACGTTTTCTGGACACCACGGAAATAGGGCACGCATTGATTATTCTGGGAACCGCTACGTCTTTCGCCTGAAATCTCAAGCACAAATTGGGTGAACTTGTCAGTAGTCACTTTTTCTGTGGCACGTCGCACCTTGAAAGTGCTAAGCGGAACCCACAAAATTCAACATTTGAAGAGTTTGAGGATCTGAAAAAGACACCCCCAACATACTTAATGTTGTACAGCAAACCGTCCAGAGGAAATTCAGATCCCTAAAATTAGGAACAACAACATTTTTTAGTTTCCATTCAACGTCATTTTTCACCACTTAGGATTTACAGACGACTTTGGTATTTACGTGTCGCAACCATTGTCGTTTTGCTTGACTGTACGTTCAGCTGTGTGTAACTCAAGATTAGTGTTAACAATTGTATGACCCAAGTCCTTGTGATTGCTCCTAAAAAGCGATCCCTTCATCATCGTTTTGTTCCATCATGGTTATTTGTCACTATTGGTCACGGCGCGTATTTCGCCATGCTCGTTTCTTTCTGTTGTATTTGTGTCACTCTCGCACACTGAACGACTCTCAGGCGCTTTGTTTCCAAAGCTACCCGACCCAGGTTCTCACGTTCAAAATTAAAATCATCGTCCTGTTTGCCAGTGTACGAGGTGCGAGGTACTTAGTAGGTTTTCATAAAAGTCGCCTGTATCACATTTTGGACTACTTTCTGTTAGGACATACGTCCACATACAGTGGTTAGAAATATTGTTAGACATAGTCCAGTCGCTCACTCAATGGCGCTCGTGCATCCAAGCTATTGTCTTTAATGCTTAGCTCCCCTACCAATCCCCCAAATGAAAGTTCACCGTGTTTACAGATCAATTATGTCAGCTACCACCTTGAATTCGTTAATGTCTACCCACCTTTTCAAATCATCGGTAAACAAAACTATGGGAGCTAGAACCGCTTTACGACAACTACGCGGTTTAAACAGCGGATGTAGTTTCAGAGTAATCCTCAGATCCCTCTGTTTTCAGAGAACAGGCTTGAGGCATCTAATCATAATGGCCTCAGGGGACTTGTCTCCCCACTGCCGTTCGCTCTGTGTTAAGACCCTTATCGATGCCTGGCAATCGGTGACTTGATATGTAGAGTAGCTGAAATTGGAATGCTGGGCTGTACCCAAAATGTGTATGAGTACTTGGGAGCATGAGAACAGACCGGTTTAGACATAATGAACACAGTTTGATAGATAAAACTTTTTCTAGGATCAGAATACCAATAGTTGGGGACGAGGTGGACTAAGTGGTTAGAGCACGAAGAACCACGGAAGATCCGTGGTTCTAACCCGACCTCTGCCACTCGACTTCCCCTTTCTAGGCTTGGACAAACTGGCAGTATCCTAACCCTATATATATATATATATAGAATAGTCCGTTTTCTCGCGAATCACTGTTCAAAACACAACTCTGGAGGTTTCGTCATTTGTTTCTGTAACCGTACGAGGTGTCAAGATGGTAGTTATGTCCCTCTTGTGTTCAATTGTAGCTATTAGTTACTTGTATGGAGACAGCGACTCCACTTCTCATTCCTTTGTCTCACAGGCCTCCTGTTTGTCTAATCATCGACGTTTCCATTGTGCCGGTGCGACCGGACGACCATGTCCCTTTTGCCAGCGGTCATTTCGCTCGTCATCTAGCCTGCAGATGCACATCCGGTGGAAACATCGAGAAGATGCAGCAGCAGCGGTTGCTGCCGCTGCAGCTGCGGCCGCCGTTAGCGGGACCACGTCGATCTCAGATGCCTTCAGTTATCTTCCTGGGTTGACTTCCTACGTTCCTACAGTCAGCATGAATGGTCTTCCACCAATGTCTATGAATGGCGGAGGTATGCATTTTTACCCTTGTACGTTTCCCGAAGATAAAACGCTTTATCTGAGTACTTAGATGTGACTAAGCTTTCTGCGCCCCTCGGCGCATTGTTGTGTTCTCGAATGGTGACAAAACGTGTGCGCACCGGATGCCAAGCTCGGCGAACAAACCTAGGGCTCTTTCAGCATCACTCTCGGCTTGCCCTTCCGGTAACTTGCTGCTCCAATAGACAAAATACCTTTATGTGAAATAGATGCTCCCACCGCCGTATTGTGAATTGGGACTGTTTTGCTCTCTACTAATCAGTCAATCAACCTTGTCAGTTACACACGAAATTGAGAAGACAAAAAGCCTTGAGGAAATTATACTGCGGCAACTGAACAGCCAATATCGAGATTCGAAGAATCA